GGGAAAGGTAGAGGAAATATCAAATTCCTGATAGAGAAAAGCATTGCATTTTAAGATTGTATGTCAGCAGCCCGTGGATTACAATAAAGACTTACAATCTGACCTGAAGAAAGAAAACTAGGAGAAAGACTGAAAATTTAATCCTTTTTATTTCTGATTTTATTCCTGCATTCAGCACCCTCTCCCCACCCCCACAAAAGCAACCAACCAGTTGTGCCACATATCAAGACTATAGTTCAATGAGAATGCAGAAGGTTATTGTATTAATAATTAATTTTTTTTTCCTTTTCATGGAACCTCCATTATGCTAGAATCTAAACTATAATATGCAGATGCAGCTACTAGATGCCAACCAACAGCCAGATTTTAAAAACCTGTTGATTAGTGGAGTCACCAATGTCTCCAGTCCCACCAGGGCACCACAGGCTAGAGAAATTATACTATAACCTTCATATCATTACCATAGCTACACCTGAAGTCAACCAGGTTAAAGAAATTTATATTTATAGTTTTCATCAGTCTTCACAGAGTGCAGAGAATTCCAGTGATTTCTATTATGACAAAGAACTGACCCAGTAAATACAGTCACGTCTCTACTGCAAACATGTTCATTCATTTAAAATGATGATTGCTTATTCACTGTCATGATTAACCGGACTGCAGGTAAACAAATTTGCAAATGCCTTGAGAAATGCATCCCAGACTTCCACATTAATCCTCAACATTTTGTATCACCATTACTTAAAAATGAGTTTAAAAATGAGTTTTTAAGCATCTTTGGATCCTCAAAGGAAAGCACAGCTGCAGCTTTAGAGGCATTTAATCACTCGAGTCTGGATGACAGGGTGCAGCACTTACCGCTGAACAGGTAATGGAAGTGAATCTAGGTGGTCCTCGCCCTTAAAAGCCATATTTATCCTATTCTTATGTGCACTTCTCCATAGGCTGGAATCTAGAAAGAAAACAAACAGTCGTTTAGTAAGCCTAGGGAAACTCAGGCCTCTTCAGTCCAGGGCAGCATGGAATTCTCCTACTGATCTGTGGAACTAACTCATAAAAACCAATTCAAAAGGCTTCTTTTCCTCAGGCTACCATACAACTCCAACAGATAACCAATGCCATTAAGTACATTTCATGGCATAAGCATCATCAGGTTTGCATATTCTTGAAGTTCCTGGACTAATGCACAGGTCAGAGACATCTGGGCTGAACATTTCTGAGTTAAAATCGAGTTGTTATTTAGCCTCATTTATTTTGAATTAACTTGAACTCGAGAGGAAATTGATTTAGTATGGTTGTAATTCTTCAGGTTATTGTAAGAAAGATTGAAAGAGAAAGCAAGTGTATGCTCATATGATTTCAGGTTCATTTAGTACTACATTTACAGAAAGGCCCTTGATGTCTAACTTAGTGAAGTACTGGATCCTTCCATGTTAAACTATTTCATTTTTCTATCAGTTTGAAATGCTGTACACATCTTTTTCCTCCATGTTTTTCCTTTATACCTGGTGGCCAATGGACACATCCAAACACTATTGTACTAGAAAGAGGCAAGAGAGAAGGAGAAAGAGACTTTCCTCACTTTCACAAAAAGGAGGGGTGCTGTCTCCCTCCCTCCTCTTTTAATTAGCCCCATCTTACATTAGGGCATTACCCACTATAGATCAATGCATATTCTCAACAAAAGCCAGAGAGGATTTATTCTACTGGAAAATGTGAAGTCATTCCCACTCACCCACATGGCCAGAGGAAGAACTAATGCAAAATACTTGAAGGAAAAGATTAATCCATGACTCAAGAAGAACAAGGAGGAGATGAATGAATTTGGAGGAGGAGACAGGAACAGTGAGGAAATTATGCTTTCTTGGATATGAAGAAAAACATGAGATCAATGGATCTCATTCTTAGAGAAAATACTTTACACAGGAAATTAATGCTGTTTGTGTTGCCAGTGGGGGCAGAATGTTTTCTATGTAGCCACTTGTGAAATTCTGCTATTTGGTTATTGGCTACATTCTGCAAGCTGAGTCAGCCAGCATTTAAGATATTTGCCACTCCAAATTGCTCTTAATTGACACAGAGTGGTCTTCAGCATCTTTCCTAGCAAACTGATCTCATTGCTAATGCTTGTTCTTGTTTTTTTTCCCAAGATCCCACAAACACTGTCCTGAGTACATAAAAGTACTACAACCAGAGTAATGCATTCACATGCTCTGTCCACTATTGGCACCAGATTGCTTTGGTAATGGTGTTGTCCTGTGTTCCTCCCCACCCCCGAATTTTCCTGGAAAAACAAACTTAACCTTCTTAGTCCATGCATCTAATGAAGGAGCATATTGAAATATGGGAGAAGAATCTGTTAAAAAAAAAAATTAAAAATAGACAGTTTAAGTGCTACCGAACTCTGATTTAAAAAGATTGCAAGTATCAGATATTTGATAGACTGTGCCTGGAAAATCATATGCCCAAGTATAAAAATATTAGTATGTATCCTTCTGCTCCCATGACATACCAAGATTTGGAAAACAAGCTTACTGTTGATTTTTTTAAAGCATTTAGCATATGATGCACAGACTTCACTAACAACTGGAATAAATCAGTGATCTTCATTTCATTTTACTAGTGGAATTCTTTTGTCTCCTTGTCAAAGAAATTTAAGATTACCAAATACAAATAATCATATAATCAGATTTACTAGAAATAGCCAATTATCACGATTACCACTATCTTAATTTGAAAAGATACTCTTAATCAAAGATGAACACATCTGCATAAAGTCTTAGTATCCAGGATTAAGTTTTCTCTCCTAAATCCTATCATGCAAATGACCGAGAAAACAGTCTCTCAGTCTGCAGAAGTACAGACTTCACGGACACAAGCTATCTCCTTCTGCTCAGCATCAGGCTCAGGATTTACCTTCGTATGCTACCAACACAGAATCAACAGCTTCCCTCTGGCAAGCTAAAGCTACTTCACCATTAGCTCAGCCCACTAACAATTTCTACACATACAAATCAAAGCATCTGTTTGTACTCCATTACTTGTGATCGGTGACATAATGTACACAGACATAAATTAGATTATTGCACGTCATTGTTCCCTATAAATTAGAAACCTGACAAAAATGCAGCTTTTTATATGCTGTCTGCCCACAAAACACACATTTATATTATGGCTGAGAGCCTTTAAAAACATGATCAACTCCTACTTAGAGGTCACTTATGCTCCAGGAACAATAACAAAATGCCACACCAATATCTTAACCAAACAGTCTGTCTCAAGACTATAATTAGATATTAGCTAAAATCTTTAAGCCCAAGTTAATGTTGACAACACAAGGAAATGCTCTTCCCAAGCACCTGGCAGTCTGCCAGAGGACCAACCGTACCCCCAGGACAGAAAAGTACCACACTAGCCTGCCTAAACCCATGACTACAAGAGAGGCTGAAGACTCAGTGCCTGATACGGCACAGGCTTCTAGTCCTGCTCAGAATGGCTCCTCCACATGCTGGGCAATTACAGTGCTCAATGGCAGACATTGTTCAGTTTTTGGTGTTCTCATTCACCTTTCTGGGTAAGACTAAGACCACTGTACTTCCTGGTAAAGACCATGGCAGGACTGATGAATCCTTCTGTTTAGATGATGAATCCTTCTGTTTAGTTGATGTTGCTTTTTATTAAAGGCCACATCACAGTGTTGGGCTCTAGTCAGCATTTCTAAAAGGAAAGTCTCCTACTATAGCTGACCGTGTAGATGACCGCCTAAGCATCACATCAAGTCAAAGTAAGAAACTTTCAGAGTATCAAATTTTTCGTCTTCTACAAAAAACTTCCTACTCGGGTTCAACAGCTTCTTTACTCTGGCAAACACAGGACAGACATGGAAAAGCAGAGACATGCTGTTGCTAACAGAAACACATAGGCTAGCAACCTGTCATGAAAATCTCTCCAAGGCTTTTTCTTTGAGGGACTGATATATAGGTAGGGCAATGTGCACAGCCTCTGCTTCAACTGCTGTCTGAGCTTCTGTGCAGAGGCACCAAGAAGGTCAATAGTTTTCACACAATGGCTATACGCCACTAAAACAGGTGGCATGAACATGAGCACACAAACTCAAGGGTACACAAACTGTAAGCATATGCCCACATGCCTCTTAATCCCTCCTGCTAGCTGCTTCCTCACAGATGGTGGAGACAGTGTGGCAGCAAGCAGAACTACAGATCTGACACAGTGCCTGAAGTCAGAGACCCTTCTCCTAATGACCGTTTAAAAGATGCCCCTCTGGCTTAAAATGTCATAAAAACATATATATATATGTATATAATATATATGTTATGTAAGTATACACATACACACAGTCACATTTATTAAGCATACACATACTAATACACAAGACTAGCAGAGTTGTGCAGGAGAGGCTAATATTTTTTTCCATTGGCTTCAGTGGCCACTGCTCAGGCCCACAGCTGGTTAGAGATGCTGTCTAGGCAAACTTGTACCAAAAAAATAACACTACTTGTAGTTCGCAGTACTGGTCATTTTGATGCAAGCCTGAGGGACACTTATGCTGAAATAATAAAATTGTCATTCTTGGACTATTATAAGGCCAATTTTTTTAATACCTTACATAGGATTTTACATAAATAAATGTCTGCACATAGACTTGTCTCACGATTATAAGTAACGACTTATAATCAGTTTAATTCTTTGGGTAGATTGCAGCGTGTGCATATGGCATTAGATGGATTCAAGGCAGCAGACTCTCCTTGTGCCCTTCATCTTTCTCTTTCTCATGTCAACACTGAATTAGATATTAAGATGTTATTTCCTCATGTTTACTAGATAGATGTAGATAAGCAGACCACAAACTACATTTCATTCCCATCGGATACAGTCAGCCAAAATCTTCCTTCAGAGAACTACTACACAAGAAGAAAACAAAGCATCACACCTGAAACAGCATGTAAGCATTGCTCACAGAAAAAGCAGTGTCAGCAGAGGATGTGACCTTCACAGCCAAAAAAATCTCCAAAAACCAAAAAACACACAACCAGGAAGCGGTAACTTGCTTATATACAAGCACCAGGCCCTGATGCTGGCAACGGACACAGAGAACTAAAAACAGCTTAAAAACCTGTCAAGCTAGCCCACCCATAAGTTAAAGAAGGACTCTCATCCTAATTTACACCAGGCTTAGCAGCACCTGTGAAACCTGTGCAATGCCTCCTTAGCACAGCAGTGCAGGTGGGAGCTGTCAAACCACTGGTTCCACAACAGCAGACTCCTCCTGCCTTACAGGAACTCCCTGCTGGGAGCCTAGTCTTGCTCAAGCCTGTTTAGCATTGGAGAGCAGCTTCTACAGCGCAACATGACTTTTTAACATCCTACAAAATATGTTACTTCTGCTAGGAAAACAAATTGCATCTTGTAAAATCTCCCGATTTAAATTTCTCCATCATTCAACATGTTAGCTTATATTTAACAAGCCAGAAATTAGGAGGATTTTAGCAGTGAGGTATTCTGTTAGAAACACATTCATGTCCAAAAGTATCAGAGTAACAGCACATATTCAAGGTGAGATAAGCGCGACTCATTTACTCCTACTACTGATGGCCCTAAGGAAGTTCTCAATCACAAAATGATGCCCCAAATAATTAAGCCCTGAAACTCACACAATTAAATTCACATTTTTGATTTCAATCACTGCACACATGTCCACCCTTGTAAAGGCTTAAATCAAAAGGCCAACCCATGAACTTTTGCTACCCCATTTCTAACCCCTAACGTCATAATTAAAACAGCAAAAACGTCTTAAAATAAGGTCAATCAAGAGCATCATTTCTCTTTCTGAAAGACAGAAATCCATGTAGCTAGCCTTTGATTATTAATAATAATCAGAACTAGAAGAGCA